ATATCAATTACAGTAAGAAAGAGAAACTCCTCTCCATTCTAAAAGGCTCATTCTCCACCCCCCCCATTAGCCTCTCTGAAATCAGGGTGCACCCCGCCATCGATGGCATCGCAGATGTGATGAAATAGGGTTGTTTCAGGGACCCCACCACCACCATCCTGACTGCCTCTGTTCAGTTGGCATCTGACCATCCTAGAGCAAGGCCATGTCCACAGAGCTGGGGCTGCCATGGGGCATGTGTTGAAGGTTGGTCAGGAGAGAGAAAGGAAGAAGGCTGTGGTCAACACCAGTGCCATGCTGGTCATGGCGGGAAAGTGGGGAAGGAAAACTGGCTCCATGCCCTGCTTCACCGACAGCACAAACCCATTGACACTGGAGTCTGACACTTCCTGTGTGATGTTCCTCGGTGACTGGCTAGCCTCATGCTTAGGTGTCCTGGCTAGGAGATGGAAGGACAGTCTCAGGGTGCAAGAAGTGGCCAGGGACCTATGAACCAGCCCTGGCCACACTGCTTTCCAACCCAGAACCCCAGGAGGAACTCACTCTTCCAACTGAAAGTTGCCTTTGGCTTCAATTTAGGCCAGATGAGACCTAAGGCACTAAAGCAAGGTATCAGAGAGAGGCGGGAAAGAGTGTAGGTCAGCTTTCAGAGGAACTTCCTGATGGCGGCTGTGGCGCCATGAAGCACCTCCTCTGCGTAAATGCTGTGGTTCCCTTCTCTGGAGATAGAACAGGTGACTCTGTGGTGTCTGGGAGGGTTTCACTACAAGGCAAAGAGTGAGTCCCTTAAGCGCACACGCTCTACCTCCATTATCTCAGTAGATCAGCACCCAAGTCCAAGAAGGACACACTCTTTTGTTATTTCCATGTTAAGCCAAGGAAGCTAATGATGGCAGTCCTGCAACAACAAGTTGCCAAGCTCATGTAGCTGGTAAGTGGTGGGTGCAGACTTGACCTCTCCAAAGGCCATGGTCCTTTCCACCAGGCAGCTCTGCCTAGTCGTGCGAGGCTCCGTGCCGGCCCTGAGAAGGATCTGTCGTTTTCTGGTCCATTTGTGTCTCTTTTTCGAGGAAGAATTATCTACACCCAGAAAGCAGCTGCCCGCTTCCCTCCACAGCTCCAGAGGAATTCTTCCAAATAATGATCAGAAAGCAGCTACTATGGGGGCGCCTGGGTGGCTTAGTCGGTTAAGCGTCAGACTTTCACTTAGGTCATGATCTCTTGGTTCGTGGGTTCGAGCCTCGTGTCGGGCTCTTTGCTGACTGCCAGCTCTGAGCCTGGAGCCTGTTTCAGAGTCTGTAACTCCCTCTCTCTCTGACCCTCCCCTGCTCACGCTGTCTCTCTCTCTCTCTCCTAGAAATAAATAAAACATTAAAAAAAAGAAAAAAGAAAAAGAAAGCAGCTACTATGGCTTCATGGCTTACCACAATCTCATTTGATTCCTCGTCCCGTCCTTGGCCCTGAGCCTTTCCAATTGTGCTAAAAGTAGCACTGACCAAATCGAGGTCTGTCCAGGGCCCAGGACTATTTTGACTCTGTCCTCAGGAATCATCTGGTATGAGGCGTGTCCAAGCTGGACTGCTCCCATGAGAACTCAGATGCTGTGCCAGGAATGTTCTGGCCGACACACCTGTCCCCAGAGCTGGGCCAGAGCTGCTGTTCACCCCATGGCCTCCACCACGTGCCTCCTGAGATACTGGTTCCAGGAGGGTTGCGTGGTGGCATTTGCACTGTGGGAAGATGAGAGGCTTGTATCTTTATCTGTAAGAGAACAACCAGCCAGTTTCAGTGACACTGCCTCTTACCTTCTCCGTTACATGGGAGCATGTTAATCTATGGATTTACAAAATCCACTTAGAACGGAGGCCTGCACCAGGAGCCTCCTTAGAAACAGCAAACATTATCGTTCCATGAGAGGCTGAAGGATCTCCTGCCCTGGAGGTCTTTAATAGTGGAAGACATTTGCATCTGACTGGCTTAACTGTGAGTCCTGGGGCAAGTCTCCCCCCTAGAAGGCCAATCCCCTCCTTTGCTAGAATGGCTTGGCTATCCTTCAAAGTCCAACTGAAGTCTCACCTCCCTCAGGATGTCCTCCCTGACCAGTCCAGCCCACCCATCTCTTACTACCCAATGGAAACCAACACACTGCTTTTTAATAGAGGTATTTTTCTTCCTGTGTCTGTAGCCTTTCCCTCTACACTGTGAGCTCTTACAGCCAGGTACCTTTCACTGCCAGTACCCAAGATGCTGGAGTTCCCCACCACTTGTGGGCTGATGAAGCAGCCCAGCTAGCGAGAACCGCCTTGCTCTGCTCCGGAAACAAGTCAGCCATCTCCTTCTTGTGTTGGTTCACTCCTGTGTTCCATACAGATACCAAACATCTGCTCTGCCTGTTGCTGGGCTGGACACTGGAGATACATTGTCTGATAAGACTGGGTTCCTGCCTGCGAACAACTCTCAGTATCTTAGGGAGACATAGGGCCCCAGAGCGGGCTATTCCATCTCGATGGAATACGTCCGCTATATGGTACTTTGTTGTTCAATTCACTAATATAGTTATTCAAACAGCGGTGACTAACTCCGCCCCAGGAAGGTGGCAAATGCCTCACAGAGAATTTGATGTGACAGGTCTTCCCAGAAGCTCAGAAACACACACAAGGGAGAAGTGGGGGAAAGAGCTTTGCAGTGGAGGGAACAGCACGTGCAAGGGCAAGAAGGCACGAAAGGGCTTGGTGCAGCTTGGGAAGGCCAGAACGATGCTGTTTACTGTGTTCTCAGACCACCTGGCCATGGACAGCAAGGCTACTTGGCTCCTTATCATGCGTAGGGAAATTGAAACTCCACGTGCAGGGATGTAAGGCTTAGGCCCTGCCCTTTCCTCAAAAGGTGTCAGAAGCATTGAGCCCCTGCTCCCCTACCCCGGAGCCTGCAATCTCTCCTCCCAGCCCCACTCTGTTCCTTCCCAGTTAGGATGAAATTGGCTCCTGTGACACTGATGTGTTTTCCTGCTTGTTAGAATCTTAATATTGTATGAATCACAAGGCACAGCTGCCCTGGCATGGCCATCAGGGTCAGAGGTGTAAATTACAACAACACATGACCCTGACTGCTTCAGTCAGGGGGTGCTGAGGCCAAGTGCTTTCCTCTGTCGCTGATAATGAGAGCACTTCCAAGGCTGTTGCTCTCACACTCATTCCTTAGCTTTAAACACCTTGCCAACACCATCCCATAATACCGGTATGAAGAGCAACCTCCTGTTGAGCACTTCACGAATATAATTTCATTTAATCGTTAGATGCCTCTATGATGGAGGGTTAAGGGACACGCCTAAGAACTCACAGCAGGTCGTGACAGAGCCAGCCTCTGAGTCCCAGTCTCTGGGACTTCAGAAAGCCCAGTGCCACTTTCTAAAGCCACCTCAATCATGAGGAATGGTCCTGCCTTGCAGGGGCTGGACAGCTTGTCCCTCTGCCCAAGGAGCCCCCAAGATCTCCCTTCACTTCAAGACAGGGCTCTGACCCCCGCCCCCCAGACACTTATTTATGGTATGCCTACTGGGTGCAAGCTGTGGCGTGGGGACCTGGGGAAGACACAAAGGTGCATAGACACAGTTACCATGTGGCTCACCATCCAGAAGGACCCAAAAGGACCCCTATTCCACTACCACCCCATACTTTCCCATTCTTAATGTGACCTGTGCAGTTTTCCCAACGCTTCTTTGAACCTTATACTGCCCAGTATCCAAACCATCACACCTATTGCTTTGTCTCTGCTTTCTTTCCCTCAGCAGTCATTTGCATGTCATTTGCACATGGAAGGCACTGGGGCTACATTACTAAGACGAATTAATAAGACATGGTCTCTGCCCTCATGAAGCACAACCTAAGAGAGGGAAAGCAACACGTAATCAGCACAGGGACTGACGTGCGCTGGGATGTCACTTACTCACTCACTCCCACAAAGACACAGGCCCTGTCTTACAAAATGGCAGCATGAAGTGAGGGCAGGAAGACTGGACCAAAATTAAAAGAACTGAGTTCCAAGCTGGTGCCACCACTGGGGGACTATAGGAGAAGTCACTCAGTTTCTTTGTCTATCAAGTGGGAATAACAATACTTGACCTGCTACCTGATAAAGTTATAGTGATATGCTCCATTAAATGAAATTCGGTGCACGAAAACATTTTACAAGTATTATACAACTAGAGTTATCATTATATTTATCTTCTGTCTCCTGGGATGCCGGCATAAATCTGGGCACACAGTAGGTATTCAATAAATACCAGTTAGTTTAAAGTGAATTGGTGGGGCGCCTGGGTGGCTCAGTTGGTTAAGCATCCGACTTCAGCTCAGGTCATAATCTCACGGTTCAAGAGTTCAAGATCTGTGTCGGGCCCTGGAGCTGACAGTTCAGAGCCTGGAGCCTGCTTCAGATTCTGTGTCTCCCCTTTTCTCTGCCCCTCCCCCATGTGTGTTTGTTTGTGTGTGTGTGTGTGTGTGCACGCGCGCTCTGTCAAAAATAAACATTAAAAAATAATAAATTACAAAATAAATAAATAAAAATAAATTGAATTGGTTCATATAACCATTTACCAGTCTCAGATAGTCCTATAGGCTTTTGAGGCCATTGTTAATCCAATTACTAATAATGTTGACCTGCCCGTCGGGGGTTGGCTATGAGAACCAAGTCAGGATATGAAAATGCCTTGGAAGCTATCAATATTGAACTGTACTGACTCTTGGGAAACCAATTGGTGCCCCATCTTGGTGGGGGGCGAGCTGGACTGAGGCCAGGTGGCCCTAAATGTGGAGCCACAGGCACGGGGCAGCCTCTCCCAAGCCCTAGTCCCATTGCTTTTGGGAAACAAACATTGCACTTGTCCCAGTTTGGGCTTCTAAGCCACTGGGCTGCCTGGACCAGGATAGTGCCTGTGATGTAGGCACGGTCTCTAGGGGGCCCTGGGCCTCCCCCTGAAATTACTCCTTAACCTCTCATTTCAGCACCCCTACCCCACGGAGGATGAGAAGAGGCAGATCGCAGCCCAGACAAACCTCACGCTCCTGCAAGTAAATAACTGGTGAGTTATTACCCGCCCAAAGGCTCTCAGATCCAGGGGGCCGCTTGCTTAACAGGGGAATGCACAGCACGGAAAAGAGAGAGCTCAACCCAGCCCAGTTACCACAGCAGTCCTCCCAATTGGCCTAAAAGCAGAAAGCTAGGGTCAACCCAACCGCCTAGAGCTTCATCTGCGGCTTATCAGCGCCCTCTGCTGGGAGATTGTGTCAGGAAGGTCGCTGGATGCTTCTCGCTGAAAAGAAAACCCTGCCCCGCCTGTACTACAGAGACACACAGGAATGCAGGCATGCAAGGTCTGGAGGAGCTGCCAGTGGTCATCTGGTCTACCCACCAACTATGTGAACTGAAAATCTACAACATCCTACAAAACTGGGAGGGGGAAGGAGGAGGGACAGTTGAGTGTTTAGATCTCACAGGGATCTGTTTTCCCCTTCTCTGTGTCTGGCTGGGCTGCCATAGAAACCTCAGAGAGTAAGGTCTGGCTGGATGGGAGTAGACCCAAGAGTTGGGCCCCCTGATCTGAGCCCTGAGCCCTCTGGAGAGAAGTCAGAGTTTAGTGCTTCCAAGGGGCCTCTTACTTCCCCTGTTCAATTCTGACCAGTCTTGAGTCGAGACTTCTGACCCTCCTCATGCATTCCTCCCAAGCTGCTTTGTGGTTTCCAGCCTCCAGGTGATTCTATGAGCTTGGCAGTGCCCAGAGCTCTTCTCCCAGCTGGGCTTTCACATCCTAGATCAGACCCCACTCTGTTCCATACAGTGGATCGGCAGCTGAGAGTCTGGGTGCAGCTCTGCGCTCCCTGCACATGTACACGCATGCACACGTGAGCGCGCGCGCACACACAGACACACACACACACCACAATACGGGGGCAACTAACCAGGTCTTTACCTTTACCCCTGGGCAGGTTCATCAATGCCCGGAGGCGCATACTGCAGCCCATGCTTGATGCCAGCAACCCAGACCCTGCCCCCAAAGCCAAGAAGATCAAATCGCAGCACCGGCCCACCCAAAGATTCTGGCCCAACTCCATTGCTGCAGGGGTGTTGCAGCAGCAGGGCGGCGCCCCAGGGACAAACCCTGATGGTGAGACCGGGAGATGAGCGTGCCCTAGACTGGGGCTGGTGGGCAGACCCCCCCGGACACGCAAGGGGTGAACATCTACTTGCCTGAGCGGCACTGGGGGCTCTGTCACATAGTGAGCCCCGCACAATCTCCATCAAAGAATGTGTGTAAGCCTGAGAGAAGGGGATGTTTTTGCATCTATTTTAGCAAGCCAGAAGCAACCTCACAAAGATGAGTGGGAGGCTGTGGTCATCAGAGTCCATGACGGCTCGGCAGAGCCCCCTCCTCCCTCCCACACCCTCCCGAAAGTTCCTTAGCGCCGATGAGCGTCTGCACGGCTCTCCAAGAGCGAGGGCCATCTATAAATACTGAAGCAGGCAGCTGGCTCATGAACGGAGGCCAGGAAGAGCTTTGTTTTCCCAGCTTCTCCATCACACCCTCCATATACACTTTTCTAATTGCCGGTCGCCTGGTGCACAATGAATAATTCAATAAGCCAGACATTTTATAGCTTGGCACGTGAAGATAGCTCTGTGTGGGAAGTGAAGTGGAGGTTTGCGTGTGCACGCACATACCTTCATGTGCATCTGTATGGTTGTGTTCAAGGTCCCGTGCGATGGGCAATTGCCACGTGAGGCATCGAGGAAATAAACAGACTTTGAGCCAGACTGACCAAGGAGAGAATCCCAACTCCTGACTGACTGGCACTTTGAGCTCATGACTTAACCGTCTGAGACTCAGTTTCCTCCTCTTTAGAACGGAGGGAATAATACCTACCGAGCAGAACTGTTAGAAAGTCAAGGTATTTAACGTACTTACATAGAAGATGCTCAGTAAATGGTAACTAGGAGCACCTAAGGATGAGGCCGAGAGTGGCCAACAAATGCACGGTGGGGGGCATCGTGCCTGGGAATTGTCCACCACCCCATGAGCCAGTCTGCACACCTCTACCCAACACCGAGATTCCTGGGCCTGACCCTTGCCTTCTTCTCTCACGTAGGTTCCATCAACTTGGACAACCTGCAGTCCCTGTCTTCAGACAATGCCACCATGGCCATGCAGCAGGCTATGATGGCCGCACACGAGGACTCATTGGATGGCACAGAAGAAGAGGATGAGGATGAGATGGAAGAGGAAGAGGAAGAGGAGCTGGAGGAGGAGGCCGACGAGCTTCAGACGACAAATGTCAGCGACCTGGGCTTGGAACACAGTGACTCCCTGGAGTAGTTGGCAGCCCAGCTGGCATGGGTCACCGAGCGGGAGAGGAGTGTCGTCAGGAGGGCTTCAGGGTGGGGGGGAGGGGGGCACGGGCAGGCAGCACCGAGGAAGTTAGGCCCTAGCTTCCCCAAATCAGTAGCCTGAAGAAATTGCAGAGCAGACGCCTGCTCCTTCCCAACCACCGAGCTTCAGTGAGTACCCCAGCCCCACTTCCCTGGAACTGCAGAGGACTCCGTTTGCGGGGCCGGTCAAGCAGCCCATCCGGAGAGGCAGGAGCGGGAGCTGGACTCACCCAATCCCTGAGGACAGATGGCACCCGTGGCCCCCCTACTGAAGGACTTGAGTTGTTTACAAGCCCTGCGCTGTGAGGCGGATCAGCACTGTTCGCAGAGTGAGCCTTGCCAGGGTCACAGCTAGAAGGAAAGGGAGAGTCAAGGGCATCTGGGTTCCACCCCCAGAAGGTTCTCAGCTCCTCAGAGAGACACTCAAGAGCAGGAGACCAGATGCATCACCTGTGGCTAGCGGAGTGGGCGGCCCTGAGGCCTGCAGATCACAGCCCCCTAGGGCTCCCGCTCATTCCTCCAAGGACCTGTCTCGGGCACAGGCAATCATGGACTTGGGAGAGAGGGTAGGAGCCACCGCAGCCACCTGCTCTCTCTCTCCCGGAAATGAATGGTCAGCTAGCAGTCTCCGACTGTAGGGGGGTAAGAGGATTCCCTTCCCCTGGGTTGGCTCAAGGACCCAAGGAGATGGTCCCGGGAGCCGTATCAAGGTGACTTTGGGGACCACAGCCAAGCCTAGGTGGTCGCAGAGCTCAGCTCCTGTAGCAGCAGGACAACGGTGTCTTCTCCCAGACGTCCCAGCCCTCAGCCCCCCATGGCTATTCCCTGCTCCCAGGCTGGCCTCACCAGCCCCATGCTCTCTTCTTCATTCTTCAGAGAAGGCAGAAGAAACATTGGAAAGAAGCATCCAGTCCAACGGGAAGCCAGGGGTTGGAGAAGGTGCTACATCCCTCTTCCCATCAATATCCAAAGTGTGGGCAAGGGCCCAGAGAAATGGCCCCCTGGAGCCAAGTGGTGCCCCACCCCACACATCCCGCTGATCTCCCGCTGATCCACCCACCACCACAACACACGGCACTGGAGGAACTGGGGCTCCCTCGCGGAGGAGGCTTTCTACCACCTGCCCTAACTCCCACCCTCCCACCCAACTTCCAGGACCCCATGATTGGCACCCCCTCCTCCCCTCCTGCCCCACCCCTTGGCTGTGAATGACAGGACTGATCACACGTGTGTTTTCCATTGGATTTAATTTAATGGACTTGCAGTTTCATTTGTAAATTGTGCATTGGCCATCTCCTTCAGTGGCAGGATGCGAGCGGCTACCTGGCTCAACTTGAGGGGACGCTCAGGGCCCTCTGGGGCTTCCCCTCCCCCACCTGGTTGGGGTGGAGCAAAAAGGATGGTCGCTTTCCTGAGGTCTCCCTGAAATGAATGTATTTCTCCCCCAAAAGAGCTGATATTTAATGTTTTAATAGGGATTTTTGAGAAACAAATAACCTTATTTATAATCTGGGTGATCCAATCATTTTTTACTCCCTTTTGATGCCATAGGTAGAGGAAAGTCTAGCTTTTTTGGCGTGAGACTTTTGCAATGTGCAGTGGGATAAAATACATTTCCTTTTCTGGTTCATTTCTCTCTCTCTCTCTCTCTCTCTCTCTCTCTCACACACACACACACACACACACACACCCTTTCACCTACCACTTTGGACAGCGACCTGCCCCGCACAGGCACACCCGCACACATGTGCCCACACATCCTCCTCCAGCCCCTCCACCTGCCTAATGTTATGCAACCTCCTTCTGATGTATCCACCAAACCAGTACTGAATGTGGCCGAGAAGTTTTCAGTAAATCTTATTACCTACCATAATTCTGGTGCGCAATTCTTTTTCTGTGGTTCGTGGTTACTGGGACCCTGGACCGAAGAAAATTTGGAGGCCTCAGCCTACCTCTTGTTGAACACTCTACCCATGGAAGGAAACAAGGTAGAAGGCCCTCTGGGTGGCCTCGGTTTACCTGTCTGGGCAGGAAGACAACACACGTTTGGCACTCTCACTGCATGCGAGTCTGGCTGAAAGACAAAGAGATTAGGGAGAGATGGGAGGAGGCTCTACACTGCCCTCTCCTGGCAGCCCTCCCCCATAGCAGCGGAGCGCTAAGAATGTGGTCTCTTCCACCAGCCTCTACCTCCCTCCAAGGCCTCTGCTTTTCCCAGCTGCATCCTAGGCTCTGAGGGTTATCACCCTTGAAGCTATTGGCACCACTGCCCCTCCCCCAGCCATCACATGCCCATCCAGGTCCCAGGAATTGGGACGGAGAGGAAGTCTTGACTACCCCCATTTAATCCTAGAGGCTGCGTCTTGAGGGGAGCTTGCCCTCTGAACCTCTGAACTGTGTCCCCTGGGGCAAGTGGAACTCTAGGGACAGCTTCGCCCTGTAAGCAAGCAGGCTTTCTTGTTATTTTCAGTCCAGAGGTTTCCTCATCTGGGCACTGTTGCTGAGATCGATGTTCAGGGCATCGGTGTAGAAGCGGGAGGGAGGCCTTCCTTGCTCACACTCACAAAGGCTGGCAGGGTGGGGGGTGCCCGACACCCTCCCAGCCAGGCTGAAGGCGCAGAAGGGAGTGCTTACACGGGCAAAATGGGTCTGCACCCACCACAGCTCTGAAGACAGCTCCCTGGCTCACCGCTCGCACGGAGCCCAGCCCTCCAGTGAGACAGGGAGAGTCTGCAGAGACCAGGCCTCTAGGCAGTGATAAAGTCTCAAGAGCCCCCAAGAAGATGCTACTTAGAGCCTCGCCTCCCAGAGCCAGGAAGCCAGCAGACTTTCAAAGAAGTGGTTTCCAAGGAAGACACTGTTAAAAGATACGCTATCAAATAAAAAAATCCAGGGCCAGATCAATCTAGGATGAAATGAATAATCTATTTTGCGGGTGGAGCTCTGTAGTGCACGTTATGAATAAAGGCTCTGCAGAGTCCTGCAGGAAAGAAGCCTGTTTATCTTGTTCCCCAGATTTCTTTGCCTTTTTTTTTTTCAAGTAATAGTTATTCCAGGTATGCTAGTACTCCACAAAACATGCTTCAGGGAACACTATTCTAAGAAATTACAGAGTAGCCCGTCCTGGCCTCTCACGCCCCTTCCTAAGTGTTTCTATCAAGTTCTGCCAGCTTTTCCACAATGCAGCCAATGAAAAGGAGGTTTCCTAAATCATTTTGAGATATGGCTGTGGTGGAGGTGGGGTTATGAGGAGGCAGCAAACTCTCTCTCCGTGTATGACCCAGATCCTCTCCTTCCCAGGGCCGAGATGTGTCACAGCCCGTGTGGAAGGAAGAAAAATGGGAAAATGCAGACGGGACTGGCATGCTGGTGTCAGGGCCCTGGGGGCTGTTCAAACAGATTTCTGGCCCCTATCCCAGCAGGGCAGACCTTTTGGGTTGGAAGATTCCTGCTCATGGCAGCTGATGGCCAGGGCTACACTGCCTTGACCAAGAGGCCCCCCTGCTGCCTCCACCTGGGCCAGATGAAAGCATTGACTCTGTCACACCGCAGCCTGCCCAGACTCACCCATTCATCCGATGTGTATTATTGAGCACCAACTCTATCTCAGGCGGTTTCAGATACGGAGGGTACAGCTGTGATCAACAAAGACAAAGCTCTTGCCTTCAGGGAGTTTCCAGTCTAGCAGGAACTTGAGACTGAATGTGTGCTGGTGACGACCCTGTCATGGTTAACATATGACCTCATCCTAGGACGGTGACCTCAAACCATCCTCAACTCTAAACTTGTCATTCAGAGTTGCAAACAAGACTGTCAGGTCAAACGTGGCATTCAGGTCAAATTCAGCTCCCAGGCATGTTTTGTTCAGACATATTATTTTTAAACATTTTTGTGCCAATATTTGAAAGATAGAGAATCACAGCTCAGGACCTATATTCCTACGAGGAACTTACGATTACACCTACAAAGTGTAATTGAATCATTGCTACCCCTTATGATGTGCTCTCCAGGTTATCACGACACTGGCCATGCATGTGGTCTCCCCAGCACTGGCACTAAGTGCCACTTGCCACTTATTATCCAGCTGTTGCTATTTGGTTGGCTCATGGCCAGTTAGGCTTCCCCTACCCTCTCTTTTAGTTGTGTTTTGTTTTGTTTTTTTACTTTCCTTCCAATATTTGAGTGCATGTTTTTAAGTAGGGAACTATTTCGGGGCACCTGGGTGGCTCAGTTGGTTAAGCGTCGGGCCCTTGGTTTCCACTCAGGTGATGATCTCACAGTTCATGGGATCACAGTTGGTTGGCTCTGTGCTGACGGAGCGAAGCCCTCTCTGCGTCTCTCCCCTGCTTACTCTCTCTCTCTCTCCAAAAGAAAATATATAGACTTAAAAAAAAAAACTTTTAAAAAAAAGAAGGGAACTATTTCTCTATACCCACTGCTCCACTGAGCATGAGAAAACAAGACAATCCAAGAGGCTTTGCCTTTGAAGAAAAAAAAAATCAGAGAGAACATATCTGCAGAAGTGAAGATATCCCTACCTTTAATTGCAAAGTGTGCCCGTGTCCTACATCCAGACATCTTCATTCATACTACCCGCCTACCTGACCTCTACAGGCAAACATTAACCTCCAGGCATAAAACCCACCAGGGTTGCTCATTATGTATGCAGATTCTGTCCCAGGACCAACCTTTTTCCAGATTCCAAGGCAAGAAGTCTGAGGATGTTGAGGAACGTTCTCTCAGAAAACAGTTTTCAAGTGCCTTCTAGAAGTTACTTGTTTATCGCTGCTCCCTTTGACTTCCTCTTGCTATTTAGACTACAAGCTCCGAGCCCATTACTCAGCCAGTAAGATTCACAGGTACTTACTTACTCTGTCCTCAGGCAGGGGACAGAAGATAATTCAACTTTGCACAGCATCGCGGGGCAAGGGATCACCAACGACTGGCAGACAGAACGTCGATTGTGTCATACTCCATGCATTGCCACTTTGGCATCTTATTTCCATCCCACAGATGAGGCAGATTTTATGATACTACTTTCATGTGTACATATCTTCTAGTTTTATATTTCCCAGCCTCTCTCTGGGCCAATCTCATTTAGCCCCCTTGCAAATTAAATGCATCTCATTCAAGCGAACCCATTTAGGACAATGCCCTTCAGGTGTGTGCATCTTGGTACATCGTTCATTTTAAGACAAGTGTTTGATTTATTTTTCATCTCATTACACTCTTTAGAATTATGTGCATCTCATTACACTCGGCGCGGTGAGACGACTTATTTCAGGTGTAGACATTACACCCGGTATTATCAGGCAAGAATATTTTTTCTTCATTTCATTACAAGCCTTACAATTTATGTACATCTCATTACAATCAGCCATTTAAGACAATTCCCTTCAGTTGTGTATACCTCATTATACCTTTTCATTTTCATATTTTTTTTCATCTTATTACACCCAAGCACTATTCAGAGAACTCATGTCAGGTGTCTACATCTCACATCCACCTGTTATTTCATTAATTTCTCGGTGGTTGTTTCCTCCCCTCGTAGTGCAAAATTCTCATTAGACGAAATGCGTTTAAGGCTGGCTCCTCCCACCAGTGGGCCTCCCATGCTCCTTTGCGAGGAGAGGACTTGCACAGGATTCTCCTGGATTTGGTCAATACTCTGCTAACAATTCCCACTCGCACACCGGGACGCTCTCAGTTAACTTCCTCATCTGCACACTGAGGGGTTAGAAGAGATGGTTGCTAACTTCTCAGTTGATGCTCCATGAAACTAGTCCTGCGGATGATGACGTGGGTCCCAAGCTTCTCCCCGGGAGGGGGACTGCTCGGCTCTCTGGACAGCGCCCATCTCTGCTGGGGAAGCTGAGATTGACATCACTACCCAGGCTTCCAACTGCCAGCTGCCTTCCCTCTTCTTGCTGCCCTTCTGATGGGGTCACATTTTGGAAGGGGATGAAATAACTTGTCTCTCATGTTGGAATTTCCCCGAGCACGTCGGGGCCAACAGCATCTTCGCCTCTTCTGCAGCCCCAGCCAGGAGCGGTGGGCTCGGGGCACCTAGAATTGCTGAGCAGCAGTTAGTTGCTGAGCCAAAGTGGGGGAGGGGGTGTGCTGCTGCTACAGGAGCCCAAGCTCTGTTCTGTGTCTGCTAAATCAGTCTCCCAGGATGGAGCCAAGGTAAGTGCCTTTTTGACAGCACCCCGGCGACTGTGAACCACCACCGTCTCACCCAGACTCGATTTCAGACAAGGATCTGTGGTGCAGCTGCCCTGGGGGGGGGGGGGGGGCTGGGGGTGTGGAACGCCTGATGCTCTTGAGTGTGGCCCCTCCCAGGCAGGTTTGCCCACAGCAGGGATCCAAGCCTCGAATGAAAAAATCTTTTCTCAGCCCCAGAAAGGGTCAGGAAACCCAACCTGCTTGCCCCCTACAGGAATCTCATCCACAGCGCATCATAAATTGTCATCTGCCTTCACCATCCACCTCTGGCCTTTGGGAGCAAGGTCTCCCAGGCAGAAAGGCTACATGGCTGCAGAGCCACACGATCCCTCCAACTCCCCCGGTGATCCAAGAGCATGATGGGAGACAGCCCAAAGAAGCAGAAACGCTCCAGACTGTTTAAATGTGGTCTTCAGGGCTCAGTCGGTGTGTGGGAGCAGTACTTAAGGAGACTGGCAATGCCTTTCCGGAAACTCTTGGACCACTCCTCACATTCCCACCTGGCTGGCCTAATCATAAGGTAGATGTGAGGCATCTCTGAGTGTCTCTGGGGTGGACTGTGGGTTTCCTCTGCTGTCGCTCTACCTGTCACCTTGGCAGTGGAAACAGAATCTTTTCGCTACATGAAAAAATAAATTGGACTTTTCA